TTCTCAAAATCACATAAAACCATATTATAACATCGACTGAGATAAAGAATAAAATGAAATATTAAAATCACGATGTATCTCGCTGCATTGCGCGAATACGCTTCTAGTATGTATATAATACAAACATACACGTATATTTTGTACAACACCAAGCAACTTTTTAAATATGCAAAGTTACATTGTAAGAAAAAAAAATATACTTTACATTGTTTTCAAGTGAACTATTTTGTGAAACCTTTTTCGAACACTTTTGCAAATCTTAATAAAACTCATTTAGGTTACAAATAATTAATTATAAGTTACAAAAAAAATACAAATTTCAACACACAAAAAATAATTACAATTTGCATAGGTCGTTGCATGATAACATAATAGAATAAAAAGAAGTTTCACCTCATAAACGCAGTTGCAAAAAGCATAAAGGAGGACTTTTTACATCTTTATCTTCTTTAGGATAGAGAATGTTGTTGATGTGAGTTCAAACCCAAAAAAGCACTCGGACATTTAAACAAACAGTTTGTGTTCATGTGTAGGAAAAAATATAACAACCGAGAGAAAAGGCATAAAGATATAGAATTACCATTCTCGACAAAATTTCACCATACTAATCTTTCATTATGAAGTATTCCTGGTTGAACTTGGATGCGTGTGAATGTTTACAAAAACATAACCGGTTGTCTTGATAGTAATTATGTCAAAACTAAATGTAGAGGAAGAGATTAATCTAACGCTATCGCCCACCAAAAGTGGTTCAAGATCGGTTATTTATTTTGGATCAGGCGGAATACAAAACAACAGGTTCGAACGCTGATGAAATCGAAATCCAAATCCAAATCCAAATCCGTTATTCCCACTACAATCACAAATGCCCATAACAAGAAAGATACGAAATCGAAATTCAGACTTGTTTAGGATTTTTGAAGTCAGTAATCCAGATTTGTGTAGGGTTTGAAGTCAAAATCTACATCTGTTTAGGGTTTCTATAAGTTTGTGGTGTTTTATGTATAACAAATCTCAAGAATGAATTTGTTTAATTTTGTGGATGCTCTAAATATCAACGTCCATTTGTGTACAAGAAAAGAGTTATTGTGTACACATTTCAGCTGGTAATATCGATACAAACAATATGGTTTTGTCGACACAATGAACAGTTGCACGGCTACAAACAAACTTTCATCAAAAATAAAATACCAATACTCGCCTTGATGTTCATCCCTCGTGCGATTCCATTTATCTTACGATGTGTATTCGAGTTTCTCTGTGAAGTGAAGCACTTGAACTTCAAAACCATCATGAAGAACCTGAAGAAAAGAGTAACCAATCTTCACCACAACCTCATGTGTAAACATTCTCAAATTGCTTGGGTACACCGACAAGACTAGGGTTTTAATTTGACGTGGGTCGTGTCTTTATCTCTTTGATTCTTGTTCCATCTATTTTGATAATGTCTTGTCCAAGACAACAAGTTTTTGTGCGGTCATGTCCCACGTATCAAATCCAAACAGATGACCAAAAGGTATCTCCAATTGTCACATTTTAGCTCTACTTATATGTTCTTTCAGATCCTCCATTTTATGGGTCCCATCTTGATTCCTAACATGAAAAGGTACTTGCTAGTTGAGTAAGAAACTTACAGGAGTTAAGGAGAAAATGAAAGTTAACCACCAATATGTATCATTGGTCGATTTGGTGTCTTTGCAATGTCCAACATTCCAGCATGCGATGCTTTTTTTCTTTTGACCTGAAATGGGCAGTAACGACTTAGAATTGATCGTACGCCAATGACACAGAAAAATCCGCGTCTGAAGGATACAGAAAAACAACGCATTTGTTTAAAAACCATCAATTTATAATAGTTTTTAGAGATTGTGCATGAGAGACGATGGAACATACCGCCGCCCCAATAATTTGGCGTAGCTCGTTATCATCAGCACCTGCCCGAATAGGATCCCTCAAGCTAACCTGGAAATATGGTAGAAATAAATTGTATAAAAGCTAATGCAAGATTTTACAAATAGTAAAGTTTAAATCCCAAAAAAACAAACAATTCATGGATCAGCAAAATCACAAAATCTATATTGAACACCATTTGTTTCTTATAGTTTAAAACACGGCAAAGTGCATCAAAATGCAACAAAGTTAATTGGGTTCCTATTTAGTGCAACGACAATATTTTTTTCTCATTTGCAACAAAGATTCAATTTTTCTTATTTTATACCCATTTTGAACTGTAACCAGCTGATAGATACCCGCTTATGAAAGGTTTATGGAAGGGTTAAGGCGAAGTGGACGGTAACCTTGTCATTCAAGTCATCAAATGTTACAAGATCAAAAAGTTGCCGGTAAAAATGGTTAAAAATTAGGAAATTTTGAAACTTTGTTACATGGAAAAAACTTCTTTGTTACACCAACTAAGAACCAAAGCAAACTTCATAGCATTTTATTGAAACATGAGAATTGAAGCTAATATACCTCTGATGGGCCAAAGAGGCAAACTTTTAGGTTCCCATCAGCTAGAAGTCGCAATCTGTTGCAACCACTGCAAAAGTGTTCGGTCATTGACGTGATAAAGGAAACTGTTCCCCGATGCCCATCTATGGTGAAATTCTTGGCAGTCTCTGATGGGTGATCCTGAATTCTTTTAAGCCCTGTATAACGTTTACCCTGTTTTGGAAATAATCAGTGACGGAAATTATATGAAACAGCAACAACAAAAATTGTGGGATCATCTGCAAGTGTTCTACCTTACCACTATGTCCAACATCTCAGCATAGGATACAAGTTTCTTGACATTCCAAACATTACCATCGAAGGGCATAAACTCAATAAAACGTACATTAATTGGTTTATCCTTTGTCAACTCTACGAAATCACAAATTTCATCATCATTGAATCCACGCATCACAACGCAGTTCACCTGATACAAAAAGGGGGAGAAGAGAACATTAGACATGCATATTCAACGAAGAACATTAAAGATGCATATCAACAAAGAATAGTAAGCCAGGGGTATTCATGGAAACAGCCGCTCTACCCTTTAGGGGTACTAGACAAGGGCAGATATAGGCATAGGCTAGGGAACCCGCTCTATTGTCCTGTCGCAATGGATGAAAATTTGGGGGTCTTGAGGGTGCACCCGCTTTAATTTCATGTGTGCTCCCTTAAGCTAACAAAAAGTGGATGATAGTCTACTAGTAGTGTCATTGCATGTGATATTACAGGCTGCAAAGTTTGAATATCTTCGGCACTTTTTTAATTTTTTGGTAACAGCAACAGCAAAAAAAAGAAGGAAAAACCCACTTGGTGCTGCAAAAACCACTTATATGTCATTTCTAATTAAACTATACTTTTATAAGTTATAACTAATTTTTGTTTTATTCTATTTATATTCTGTTAATTATTTGTGCCCCACTCAGCCATTTTTCTGGATCCACCTCTAGAGGGTAAAGCCAAAGGTCAATCTGCGGACATCTTACCCTCCCAGACTCCACCTCTGGCTGTGACAAACTGGGTTTGTTTGGTTTAGTTTTTTCAACAATGAACAGGGAGCAAATTATGAGTTTAATAGTATAATCCATAGGCAAAACCATCAGGAAGTAATAAGGAGAAACAAGATCTCCTAAAGGAAGATGCATACCTTAACAGGGTTGTATCCGAGGTCTACTGCTGCATAAATTGACTCCATTACCCTTTCGTGCCCTTTACGCCTTGTCATGAATTCAAATTTTGCAGGAACGAGTGTATCCAAGCTGATATTAAGCAAATTAAGTCCACTAGCTTTCAAATTTGGAAGCTTTCTTGCTAGAGCAAGCCCGTTTGTAGTCATGGCAAGAGTATTTAGTCCTTTCAAGCTAGAAAGCTTTGAGCAGATCTCTGCAATATCCTTCCGAATGCTAGGTTCCCCACCAGTCAACCTAATTTTATTCACTCCAGAGCTTACAAATAAATTCGCTAAACGTACAATCTCGTTTTGTGACATAACCAAGGGGCCCGGGGTCAAGTCCACACCTTCGGCTGGCATACAATATTGGCAACGTAAATTGCAGCGTTCTGTTAAGGATATTCTTAAGTAAGTATGCAGTCTTCCGAATGAATCGACCAACATATTGGAAACAGGATCGTCTTTAACTGCATCTTCTGGGATCTTTTCGGGCATAGTGGCGTACATTTTTGACAATGAATCTTCTATGTGATTACTAGTCGGAAGTTGGCCATGATCGATTCCGAGTTGGAAGTAGGATTTCAGTTTAGAGTTAACCTGTTCGTCAAAGGTAAAAGAGTCAATTGTCGTTCGTTGGAAAGAATCTTGAAATTTATATCACAGGCAAAAGGTAAAGATTATCAGCGCAATGCAAGAAGTAAAAGAAAATTTCAATTGTTTTTTGTTCTTCACTTGTTTAGGGGCTAATTCTCCATGGGGTCGTTCGGTTAAATGACTTTTTTATGGGGGTTTTTGATTCATGACCTTATGAGGTTTGAATTGCCCCAGCTTAATACAACAATGCCACTTGGATACACAAGAACGCCTAGAAACCTATAAGAAGGTCATGGATATAAAAAACACTTGTCGGCAGGTCATTTAGCTAAACAACCCATTCTCCTGGGTCCTTCGGGTAAATGACCATAAATGGATCTTCGGGTGAAGAGCATGACCTAAATTTTTTTAGCTCAATGACCTACATTTGACTAGCCCCTTCTATACAGCCTACCTCTGTTCAAAACAGCATGGGCGGTAAAAACTTAGAAATACTCTAGAGGATTAGATTTTTAAATTCAGTTTTTGAGAAGGTCATTCAGCTAAGTAGCCCTCAGTAAGAGGATGAAATGAGAAAGGGGTAAAAAAGGCATAAAGATGGGACCTTTCAAAAGAAATAACTTCCCAATTGCAGCCATAATTGAGATGGAAAAAATCAGTAACAGAGCATGATTATTGATCTTTTATATACCAGATAATTCTCAAAAACCAGAAATTTCACCCATGAAACATTTGAAAAGCATTCTACAAATTGCTTGGACACCAAACACAGCCTCAGAAATTCCCAGAACTACACCAATTCAGGCAATTTTTGAACCATGCCTATGAATCTTTTGCCAATTTACCAATTCTTAAACCCATAACTCGATAGGTTTTGTATTGAGTGCAATACAACAGAAGTACAACTCTTCCCATGAAGAAATTATTACTCCAGAAAAGGATTTAATGACCACTAAATCAATCTAGGGACCCTTTGAAACTTAAACATTGAGAACAAGGATGCTCCCCAATTCCGGTGTGCAATTCCCACTGAACTACCATTAATTGGATATAAATTCAGGAAGTTAACGTCGTTTCCTTCTTTAATCAGGGACAGAGGATGAAATCCTTGATCTGAAGGGAATGATCTACGCCATTGATAAACAATCCTCCACTGACACTAGTATACTAGGTTATAATCAGCAACCAAAACAAAATTCAAGAAGAAAAAACGAACACGAAATTCATGGAGAAAGAGCAGAGTAAAAGGGTAAAAACAAACCGAATTGAATCTTCTGAAACCGAGATGCCAGTCAGAACCACGGGATAAATAGGGGCGCATGCTGAATTGATGATGAAAGTGAGGGTTAAATTATGAACCCTAGATTTATGGCGATGGGAAGAAGTCAAAGAAGAAGAGATAAAAGAATTTGGGTTTCCATGTATCTGCGGTTATGAAGGTATAAAAAAGAGCAAGGGAGCTGGCTAGCGCCCGAAAGGACACCTGCCTATTTTGGAGTAAAAGATTTTGACTTGGGTATGCTTTCGCCATCATCTAGAGACGAAGAATCAAAGCTTTTTACAGGTGGACAACCCTTAGATACGTCTTTTGCATCCGATTCCAGATATGGATATATATATATATATATATCAATATCTTGTATACATCTTTTTATGTATATATATACACAATTGGGATCCAGTGTCTTTCGTGAAATCTTAGAACAATTCTTAACTTTTGGATTAGATTTACAATCTGAACATTCATAATCACAAAATTGTCATGAAACTTCTCAATAATCATAAAATTACCAACTTCAGACCATTAGATCATTAGTTTATAAAGTTGATCAATAAACATAAATTGGTCTTACGAGTCTCACGGAAAGCCATTTGTCTCACGTGAACCCAACCCTATATATACATACACTAAAATAGACTTGTGATCATGTTTTAACAAGATTTTATTGAGATGATTGAATTTTCACAGCAAAACACTGTTTATGATGTTTTTGTTGTGAATGTCCGGTATTTTTTGTACCTTAACAATATTTTGTTGTCAAGATTCAGTGTTATTTTGGAAACTGTTTATGATGTTTTTGTTGTGAATGTTCGATATTTTTCGTACCTTAACAATATTTTGCTGTCAAAATTCAGTGTTATTTTGAATGTCTTTTGAAAACAGGTTGATGACATATATACTACATACAAGTTAGGTTAGAGTAAGGGGCTTATCAAGTCACATTACTTTACCGGATGAATATGATAAGGACCAATAATCTTACCTGGTAAGAGCGAAACAATGACCAAGAGTCTTACCTGGTAAGTATAGGCAACGACTCTTACCACAGTAAGCATTTACCAGGTAAATTGTTGCATACGATGTTGTTTTGATGGACTAAATCCTTACCCGGTAAATAAATAATAGCGTTAAATTTTACCGGTAAGCACTTACCGGGTAAGTGTTTGGTAAACGGCCCCTAAGATGACTTTTGTAGGAGAAGATTGAGAACAAATTTTTCATCATCCTTTGATCATATTTAGGGGTGTTTGGGATTGCTTATTTGAACCAACTTATGTTATTCTACAAAGGTACTTATCAACTTATTATAAGTAAGAAGGGTTTAACTTCTTCAAAAACTCCTTRTTACCGGTTTGGCACCGGTATAAATTGTTTATCCAAACACTTAAAAGTGTTTATTACCAGTGTCACACCGGAATAAGTCAATAAGTTGTTTTTATAAGCAATCCCAAACACCCCTTAATTATTTTTGTTTACTTATTTTTTTCCGGCTATAATTAAAACTTTAACAAATTCATAAATGCAAATGTGATGAAGATATTAAAAGTCCATGAAAACGATTAAAAGTAAAGACAAGTGTAAAAATTAGGGGAGTGCTAATGGCACCCCATTTCATGTCAGAATCAGGTCATTCAAGCATTGGGAATGTAAAAAGCATGTATTGATGTTGATGTGTGTGAGGAAGAAATTCATGGATAGGGGTGCATTAAGCAATGCATAGGGGTGCATTTAGCCCACCCCAAAAATTAAGATGATTGAAGGTAGATAAAGATTTATGTTTTCATGTGAGATGGTAATTGAAAATCAGGGTTTTTTAACGGTTAGAGAAAATCGACGCATGTAAAAGGCTTAAAATGGTTCTCACTATTATCACCAGAACTCTTGTTTTAACATGATCTCAAGTCACGTACATACATACATATTTTTCTTACTAGAAGGATGCTTGTGTAATACAGCAAGATACATCTTCATTTTAATGTTTCGTTTTACTTTTTGTTTCTGTTGATATAATACGGTTTATGTGGTTTTGAGAAAGATAAAGTTTTAACTTTTGAATAAAAATAAATTTGAAGACATCATAAAATTTTGAAAAAACATGTCAATGTTAATATCAAATTAACTATTTAAAGATATTCGTTTTTTTGTACAATTTCTTTAATTCAATTTTTTATTATAATTTAACTAGAAGGGTACTCGCGCAATGCAGCAAGATATATCTTGATTTTAATATTTTATTTTATTCTTTATCTCAGTCGATATTATAGTATGGTCTTATGTGATTTTGAAAAAACGATGATATATTTCATTTTTGAATAAAATATAAATTTGACGGCATCATAAAAATTTAACAAAAAATATATCGATATTAATATCAAATTAACTATTTAAAATTTCTATTTTTTGTGTAATTTTTAAGTTCAAATTTTTATTATAATTTAATTTAGGTTCAATAACGAAGTAATTTATATTTAGTTTAATAATATAATTTTCTTATAAAGATAATAATTAATTATTCTGTTAGAACGCGATAATTATCCTAATTATATTTTAGATTTTTTATATTTTAAAATGAGATATTTATCCTCTATTTGATTATGTTTATTTGTAGTTAGTTATACGAATGTAAACATGAAGCTTTAATAAGTTGTATTTAAGCATAATTTACTTGTAATCTTGAATTTTAAGTAATATGCATCAATATGTAGTACTTCATGCATAAAAAATAGTTTGTAAGAGTTTTTGTCAAATGTTTTATAATATAGTATAGATTTGCATCAAATAGTGAATTAATTTATTTTTGGCTTAATAATCATTTTTTTATAAAGATAATGATTTTGTTAGAACTTAATGATTATCCTAATTATATTTTAGATTTTTTATATTTAAAGTGAGATGTTTATCCAATATTTGATTATGTTTATCTGCAGTTAGTTACACGAATTTATACATGGGGCTTTAATAAGTTGTACATATGCACAATTTACTTGTAATTCTGAAATTTAAGTAATATCCATCAATAAACAGTACTTAATGCACAAAGAATTGTTTTTAATGATTTTTGTCAAATGTTCTATAATATAGTATAGATACTATAAAGGAAAATTTTCATTAGAATAAACTAATTTTGAAAATCTTTAGTTTAAGGTTTAAGACAAACTTTTCAGATGTATTCAGTTGGTAACCAGTTATCTTAACATGATGTGACAAAAAAAAAATTAAAGCTTATGTTGATATTAAAAAATATCTTGTCATCAATAATTAACAAAAACAAAATAAAACACATAGAACTTAAAACGATGACTCAAAAATCAAAACCGCACTTCCTCTCTTTCCCCTCCTGGCTCCCACCTCGTCGTTTCTCCTCTCGTTGCCTTCTCCAGCATGGTCTTCGCCTCTTGCCTCTCGTCGTCTCTAGTCCTTCAGTTCTCATGAGCTACTTTTCTCGGCTTCTCCAATCTCCCCTGAACAACACCCTTTTTGCCTCATTCATATTTGTTACACTGTTAAATTGCCAAATAACAGTAGTTAACATTTACTAAACACTTACCCGGTAGGTGTTTACCGAACAATTTTCCTCACTGTACGAACATAGGAAGACCCAAGAATCTTACCTGGTAAGAGCAATGTAAGGATAGAGAGTCTTACCCGGTAAGTAAGGGTGACGATTTTTACCCGGGTAAGCACTTACCATATATATTGTTGCACACGATACCATTTTGATATACTACAATCTTACCTAGAAAATAAATTATAGTGTGGATTCCAAACGGTAAGCGTTTATCGGGTAAGCATTTAGGTAAACAACCCCTAAAGTTTTATGTGGTGTAGATGTGATCGGGATTAAGGTTTGTTATTTATGTATCGATAGATTAGAATTTGAAAAAAAAATGGGAATTAAGCTTTTAAACGGAGAGTTAGTTGGAATGGAATTTGAATTTGTCATTTGATTATTTAATCCGTATTGAAACCTAATTGGGGTTTCCATGACGTCTTTGGTTACTCGTTTTATAGGTTTGTAATTGAATGGTCAAATCATCAAATATATATAGAGAGAGAGGAGATTGGTTATTATACAATTCTTAATATTTGTGCAACCAATACAACCCAATTTCAACCGTCCATTTCATTTGATTAATATGTGATTTCATAGAAGTTTTGATTGTTTCCTAATATAAAGTATTGATCATAATTAATGAATCATATTCATCTTACATAAATATTCAAATCATAATAAATGAACTCTCATCATTTCCATAAATATCTCAATTTATTGGGTTGCATTGGTTGTACAAATGCAATGGGTTGTATTTGAAACAACCAATACAAATGCAATCCATTGCATTTGTACAACCAATACAACCCAATAAATTGAGATATTTATGGAAATAATTAGAGTTTATTTATTATGATTTAAATATTTATGGAAGATGAATATGATTCATTAATTATGATCAATACTTTATATTATGAAACAATTAAAACTTCTATAAAATCACATATTTATCAAATTAAATGGACGGTTGAGATTAGGTTGTATTGGTTGTGCAAATGTAAATGGATGTATAATAACCCACCTCAATCGTCCATTTAATTTGATAAATATGTGATTTCATAGAAGTTTTAATTGTTTTCTAATATAAAGTATTGATCATAATTAATGAACTCTATTCATCTTTCATAAATATTCAAATCATAATAAATGAATTCTCATTATTTCCATAAATATCTCAATTTATTGGATAGTATTTATTGTACAGATGCGATGAGTTGCATTTGAAACGATATATATATATATATATATATATATATATATATATATATATATATATATATATGGTGAATGATGTGGCATAATGTGGTTTAAGAGTTTTTCAAATTGTTTGATTGTGGTTTAAGTTGGTTGTCTCGTATTGATGAAGAGAAGAATGTTTGACAAATATTAATGATTATATAAAAGGAAAAGATAAATGAATTGAAATGTGAAATGATTTGGTTAGGTCAGATGTAAATTTTAAACACCATTCTTTTCCAAAAATAATATTTGTTTAAAAATATATAGTTGACTCATTTCGGCTTAATCGATTTTTAAAAAAAAATTGGTATATAGGATGAGATAAAAAAAAATTAAAAATCTTGGATTGTGATTTAAGTTGGTTGTCCCATAAAAATAATGATGACTTTTTTACTAAAAATTTTATTATTTAAAATTATGATGACTTTTTTACTCCATCAAAACAACACAAACCATAAAAATAAATTATGATAAGCCTTTTTCACTCCATCAAAAACAACACAAAGCCTTTTTCGCATATGGTTTGATGTTTATAACGGTTTTCATCCATGCTTTTTAAAATATGTTTTTTGGTCCTTGTGATTTCCATTTTCGTCCCTCAATCTAACTCTATTAGAAACAGTCGTTAAAGATCCAAAAAGTGTTTTCGAGAAATTACATATTTAGTCATTGTGGTATATGAAGTTTTAAATATTTATCCTCATATTTCATTTATTGATAAGTAAACGATATCTTATTTTTTTTATTGATTTACTTTATTTTTTTAAAATTACTATCGAATAAGTTCAATATGATTTGAGGACAAAAAAAATTAGTTTTATTTTATATCAATTGGTTGTTTTTTATTCTACTAAATGTATTTTACTTTCACTATTCCATATTTTCATTTAAACTTTATTTTTATTAATTAATCTAATTTGTTTAATATTTAATTTAATAAAAAAAAACACATACATATACACTATATGTGTGTATATATATATTATTAAATATAATAAATAAATAAAAATAATAAATAAAATTTAAAGATAAATATGTGGAACTCCATATACCACAAGGGCTAAGGGCTTGTTCGGTTGTGGTTTAATGGACTGTATAGCCTATATGGCTTCGCTCAACCATAAATAGTTATTCGATTGTGGCTTATTCGTTCAACTGATGACTTAATCGGTCAGCTAAATACCATTACTCCTTTACACTCAGCCATGTAATTTTCCCTTTATTTCCTTAATTACCAATGCAATAAAAAACCCTATTTTACAAAAACTCCACTTCACGCTTCGATTCACATTAGAGACTTGTTGAAGACTTGCCACCATCGCATTGCAGGTTCCTTCCTGTTGGAGACTTGTTGAAGACTCCATCACATGTTCCTTTCCATCTCCACCATCACAGGTTTCTTCCCATATCCACCATTATAGGTTCCTTCTTGTGGAGATATAAGATGATTCGAAGCTGGTCGGGGGTGCCATGGATGTTGTTCAGACTGTCGTCGATGGAGAAGGGAAGGTGGAATTAGGTAGCAGCGGAGCGGGAGGGGAAGTGGTGAATAAGAAGCGAAGGGAGGGGAAGTGGTGAAGAAAAAGCGAGGGGGAGGGGGAGGCAAAGTGGCTGCCTAAGGCTCAGGCGAAACATCCTCCTGCTAAGAAGAACAAAGAAGAGGGGGAGGACGATTTCACTTTGATGTTTGTATTTTTTTTTTTTAATTTAGACAAAAATAAAGACTGAGGTAAAATGACGATTTCTGACATTCAGACTGTTTATTCAGCACAATAATCGAACAACAGTTTATCTGTTAATATACAGACAACTGTATCAATACAGACAACTATATCCATACAAGTCTTAACAGAAAATAAACCGAACAGCCCCTAAATATACAATTTCTCGAAAACACTTTTTGGACTTTTACCAATATTTCTAACATAATTGGATGGAGAGAATAAACTTCAAAATTAAGAATAAACCACACTAGAGGGTGTTTGTGATTGTTTATTTGAAACAATTTATATTTTTCTATAAAAGTATTTATCAACTTATTATAAGTCAAAAAAATTTAATTTATTTAACAACTTTTATTACACTAGTATAAGTTATTTATTCAAGCATTTAAAAATGCTTATTACCGATGTCATATTAAAATAAGACAATAAATTATTTTTATAAATAACCTCAAACATCTCCTAAAACTGAAATGAATATTCATAAATTTAAAAAATATAAATTTTTAAACATATTTTCAAACTTCTGCAATAGAATTTGACAGCGTAATACAAAAATATCCGCAAGTCAAAAGGGTCGTTGGATTAATTGGGGACATTAAAACGTGGAAATCCGACTGTCACTCAGATCATACCCAATAATTGAGCTACAGAGAAACATGGGGAAGAAGGCCGTGCTCATCGGATGCAACTACGCCGGAACAAAGGCTGAGCTCCGGGGATGCATCAACGATGTCAAGAGAATGTACCGTTGTCTCATCGATCGTTTTGGATTCTCCGAGGATGATATCAATGTCCTCATCGATTCCGATGATTCCTATACCCAACCTAACGGTCGTAACATCCGGAAAGCTCTCGCCGATCTTGTCAGATCGGCCGAACCTGGAGACTTCCTCTTCGTTCATTACAGTGGCCACGGCACTCGTCTTCCCGCTGAGAGCGGTGACGATGACGATACCGGATATGATGAGTGTATCGTCCCCTGCGACATGAATCTAATCACCGGTATGGTACTTACTTTGATTCATGGATTTTCTTGTTGCTTTTCATATTGAATATGATGTTTTAATTTAGTGAATCATATCTTTAAACAGCTGAATTTTGGAATTCTGTTAAAAGATCTACTGTTTGACTTCAAGCTCTAACAAATGGTTAAAAGCTCTTCGCGATTATATATTGATGTGTCGATTTTAGGCATTCAAATTTATCGTTCATCCATCATTGACTCTCAAACCATTATTTGGATTGAAGTACTTACGTCATTACAATGATAGATCATTTTTTTCTAGAGCAGCTGCGTAGGATCTGCTTGCTCTAACGCGATCTTGCTGTCACAATTCATGCCTATAGATCTTGCATAAGAAAATGTTTCATCTCCTGGATTACCGTCATTTTTGCAATCACAAAAACTTGCTTACCCTTTAGCATCAATGCATCATCAGATCTGCATAAATTCACTAACAGTGTGTATGATCTAGTAAACAATATCCAGTCCTGTTAGAGGGAATTGGATTATGATGGCCTCTCCCTCTGTTGGAGCATACCCATAATTGGGAGGGATTGTTTACGTATTTGTGTTTGAATCTAAGATTATGAACAGTCTATTGGATAAAGTTTGATCTTGATACTCAAGGCTTCTTGGCTTAACGATGACCAGCAGGAGGTCTTTGGGTCTGCTTTATGACATTTTGGTCACAATAGAGTTCCTGATCTGTTGCTCCAAGACAAGCTATTGCATTTAATTAAGAAAGTCGAATAAAACGAATCAAATTTAGCTCATATCGAATGCGTCAACTATGCTTTAAAATTCTTTTTGAATGTAGCTTTGTTTTTAGATGAGGAGGAATGTAGGCAACCATAAGGGTGGTGCCTGATTGGTTTGAGCTTGGCTCTAAAGGTTAAAAATACCAAGAGGTCACAGGTTCAAATTGAATGAGGGATAAAAATCCCCTTCTGGCCACGGAGGTTCAAATGCAGTGACTTCGGGCTATCTGCAAAGCAGATGGTCGCCCTAAGATTAATCGACTCGCATAGCGGGTTGGATATCCAGGTTAATCAATAAAAAAAACTATAGGCAATATAATTCAAATTTTCAAATAACTAGGAGGGTTTTTTCCTTCTCTACTAGCCAAGTACTATTGCTTGCTACAAATATGTTATTTACTTTCATGCTTCTTCCAACCATATGCTTGAATAAATATATTCACCAATGTCATAGTTATATATTCAGAGTCCTATTGGTTACATCATTTCCCTCCAATTTTAGTCAAATAAACTAACATAGACATGGGGGCAGAAGACTTTGATGGATAAAAATTGTTACTCCATCTTAGCCCTTTAATGATGATTTATGTTAAGTAATTTGATTGAGACCAAAAGAAATTGATAGGATTGATAGGATTATTTGTTCGAATGCGAAAGTAGGGTGACCTGTTTATCCATTTTTTAATATGAGGTAAGTTCATACGAGAATGGTACCTATTTAAGAAAATAAGAGAATGAACAAATTACGTATAAAATCACTTGTGATTTTTACATTAACGGCCAAAAAAGTGTGCGCACGACCCTATGGCTGCATGGCAAGGTCGCATGAACACACGTGATTTTGTACGTAATGTTAGTGTAAAATCACATGTGATTCGGCTATTCTCTTATTTTCTTAAATAGGTATCATTCTCGTATGAACCCGACTCTTTTTGATATATATTGAACTTTTGTAAGTTTGATGAAGCTAAAATGCATCACATATGCAAATGTCAATATCTCTATCTATGGATGCAATCTCTCAATTTTTTACATAGGAGTTCCCTTACAAAAATGCCATCAACAGCTATGTCATTTGTTGTACCATAACATTTTCTGTTTTGGTTCATTTCATCCTAATGTACCTTAATAAAGAAATATCCAAACAGTAGCTTTCTTGTTTGGTTGCAATAGGGTAATTTGGATAAATAAACCTTAAATGAATTTTCAAATTAGAAGCAATACGTTCTCATCTTTTTTTAGCTCAATGGTTTTCATCTTACCTGCCTCTAGTTGCTCTGACTTCGGTATTGTATTTGTGTGGGTGATAAATACAGATGACGACTTCAGGGAGATTGTTGATCAAGTTCCTCAAGGCTGCAGAATAACTATTGTATCAGATTCATGCCACAGTGGTGGACTAATTGATGAAGCTAAAGAACAGATTGGTGAGAGCTGCAAAAATGATACCGAAGAACAAGAAGAAGAGAGTAGTGGATCCGGTTTTGGATTTAGAAGTTTCTTGCATAAGTCTGCTGAGAATGCATTGGAATCCCGGGGAATCCGACTCCCTTCTGCATTACGCCATCGACGTCACGATCAAGAAGAAGAAGAAGTTGATGAAGAAACCTATGAAGGAGATCTTCATGTTAAGAACAAATCCTTGCCTCTTTCGACCTTTCTCGACATACTCAAACAAAAAACCGGCAAAGAAAATATAGACGTTGGAAACGTCAGGCCGGCGTTGTTTGATATATTTGGTGAAGATTCCAGTCCAAAGGTGAAGAAATTCATGAATGTCCTCTTAAGCAAACTCCAAGGCAGCAATGATGGATCCGGTGGCAGTGGCGGTTTTTTCGGAATGGTTGGGGGGCTGGCTCAGGAATTCCTAAAGCAAAAGCTGGAAGACGACTCGGACTATGGAAAACCGGCAATGGAAACATCAGTTGGAAGCAAGGAAGATGCATATGCCGGATCAAAGAAAAGGGAGATGCCGGAAAACGGCATTTTGATCAGCGGCTGCCAGACACACGAAACGTCAGCCGATGCCACCCCATCTGGCAAACCGCAGGAAGCTTATGGGGCTCTTAGCAACGCGATTCAAACAATCATTGAAGAATCGGGTGGCGAAGTTAGTAATCGCGATCTCGTGTCCAAGGCTCGGCAGTTGCTGAAGAAGCAGGGGTTCACTCAAAAGCCTGGTCTCTATTGCGATGATAACCATGTCGAGGCCTCTTTCGTGTGCTAAGCGTTGGTTCTACTTGTGGATCTGTCATCTATGATACTTGTAAGATCTGTAAGTACGCGTTCGGTGTGAGAGTGAAGGTTTTGAAAAATAAACGTGGACTGAAATTTGTGGATTTGAATTATGTTTTGTGTTTTTTTTTTTACGTAAACAGAGTTGTGATGTATATCAGACGACACATTTTGTTCCGTTGCTTAAAGAATTTAATGCCTTGTTGATGGGTTTTCTTGGTAGTTAATATGGAGCATTTTATTTAAATTATATAAAAGACAAATAATTATCATTTTGATGTTTTGGAGAAAGATAAAACATAACAAACTACAGTTGTATATTGATGGATTCCGATAGGTCTAGTTAAAACCAGGTCAATATATTATAAAAGAGCTCGTAATGAGGCTAGAAAAGTTATTTACAAGATTACTCGAATATATTTATGGTATTAGGAATACCTGGTTTTAGGGTGCTTTGGTTCACCTTGTTTGGTTTCAATGGGTATTGTTTTATTTCTAAGCTTTTTTTTTTTTATTAATCTGGATATCCAACCTGCTATTCGAGCAGACTAATCTTACCACATGTTTTACAGATGGGTCAGAATCATCGCATTTGAACCTTCGTGATCATGAGAAGATTTTATTCTTGCGTGAAAAAACTTTTATTGCTCTTCTGTTAGTATCTTTTATTTCTTTAATAACTTCGCGCAATGCGGTGCGGAGCCGTGAATTTTAACGATTTTGAAGTTTCATTGGTTTTTATTAGAGAAGGTTTAACGATGATATAAATTACACTTGGTATTTACATATTAATACAATTTGAATAATAAGAGTTATGGTTCCAATAACAGTTTATCGATGAAAAAATTTGTATGACAGTTTAAAATTCAATATACTTAAAATCCAACATATTTAAACGACTCCACAATGTGTTCAATTTACACCAAGAGCAAAGAATCAAGAAAGCGAGACCGAGAGTTCTAGAGCAATTAAATGAGAGATGAATGAGAGGACTTTTAATAACTCATGGTGAATATCAATTTGAATCTCACGTTGGGGGATGGAGAGAAGACATAGAGGTATAAGAAGATGAATGCATGAGTAAAAGATGTCAAAAGTATCTTGAGAATATGAAGAAAAAAAAGTAATAATATGCATTAATAATTTGTACTATATGTTATTTTAACGTAGATTAAGAGATTTTAAAACTAAATAGTACTACTCTGATACGCAGCCTACCGGCCATGACATTCGCCATACAGCGATCATGATACTCGCCTCCTGAAAAGAGTGGTTACGATGACTACACCGGATATGACAAGTGTATTGTCTCCCGCAACTTCAACTATCACCGGTATGCTATTTTCTTCGATTCAAGGATTGCTTTTGCTGTTGATTTAGAATTTGACAGTAAATTACATCTGAATTAAAGAATTAGGAATTTCTTATGCGTGATTTAACGGTTCGGTTTCAAGTTCCACTGATGGTTCAAAGCTCTTCGCAATTGTCTAAATTTTAGGATGGATTCCTTTGGGAAATCACCCTAGTTTTAGAGGTAATTGTAAATTTTTGTCATTCAAATTTATTGTGCCTCCATCATTCACCCTAAAATGATCTATACATAAGTGAAAGCATCTTTGGATATGAACTTCACATGTTGTATATTCGGTAATATTCCTCAAGTATCCTGATGAAATCAATCACCGCTTCCAGCATTTAAGCCATAGTTCTTAACATTAAGAACTGGAAAATAACACATAACTGGTTTTATAGATGTTCATAAATAAGTGTAGCACTATTATTGTCATTTGCTCATCATGGCTACATGGACATTCACAGAAGTTCTTCAAACTTTTGCTATGAGCAGCACCAATCCTTAGACCCACATAGGTGAAGTTCCTTTTTACAAATAAATGGATATTTCATCAATAGTATATAACTCACCTTCAGAAAATCACTCACTAATTAACAAGCATAAACTAGTGACCAAGTTGATGATCAACAACTTGTTTTTACCACATTGAACCTCTTACTTAGATACTAGCTAGTCTAGATAAATGTTCGGTTCTCGCTGCTGCCTGCTCTATCAAATGGGCCTCAAACCCCTTTTCTGAGTGGTTCTAAAGACCATGTCTTTTGGAAGTCCTTTTGTAAATGGATTTGCCAAATTGTTACACAACTAGTGTGACAGTGTACATCACTTAGAAGAAGAGGATTGCATTTCGCTACATCTAATGGAGAGTACGAATTTTGCTTACCCGATAAAAGAAACTACTCTGGTTGTTTACACTTTCCAAATATGGAAATAAAGTGGATAACCAAAACATTTGACCTGATTCGAAAGTTATGCTAGGCTGAGCCAGTAGACTAGTCCCAAGTCGCATGTAAGGCAGCATACAACCTTAATTTTGTATCACTAAATTCAATAGTACAAAGGAAATAGGTTGCTCAAGTACCGACAAATCTTTAGATCGTTTTCATGGAAATTCAACGAAGTTGGATGACCAGTATACAAAAATCTTGTGCTTTCTGTTGGAGTCCAACACGGCTAGACTTGGACCATTTCTCCTATAGATGTTGGAACCTCCCCTTCTTCCTAAAGAGCTCTTCTGGAGAGTAATCTGATGAGGTTCCAGATATTCTCACACTTTTTATCTGGCCAAATGCAATGTTGAAGGAATTTAGGTTCCTTAGTTGTTCTTGAGCAAAAGAATGCGTTCATGTCGGCAATAGCTTCCAGGCTATCTGCCTATTAATTGCAATACTGAAATTAACAATCATGGGGTGCAGGCTTATGAAAACCCAAGAAGGTTTTTGTGAATCTTTCTGGTAGTTCATCTGGCAATTGCAGTGAGATCTATGATCTATTCTTGCATTTTATTGTTTCATGAGTTGACATTGGTCGAACATGATAATTTTCTCACCAAAGGAAGAAAATTAAAATACAACGACGAACAATAAATGAACTATTTGAACGAATATTTTATGATCCCTATGTCATACAAACAAACAATGAACATAATAGAAATAACCTAGAAGAAGTCCCACTTAGAAAAGAGAGATAACTAACATGGACCAGAAAAATAAAACTAAAAAGTCGCCTTCAGGTTGCAGTAGAAGTCCACGGCGATGTACCTATACCAAGCTTACCAGGCTCGCACCCATACTAGCGATCAACTGGGCATGCTGTCGAGTCATTTCCATTTGCAACTGAAGCCTCTGGAGCTGCATTTGTGCATCAAGAACGCTATCCCCTTCACATTCATCACAATCCACACAACCCAAATGTGTGCAGTAATCACATGATTCACAGTAGTACGCCCAACGATCCTTTTGGACTGCCCCATGACAAACATCACAGGAGAACTCCTCTTCACCTTTCTTCGGACATGAGTAAAATAGTTTAAGCACATGCTCATGATCGTTTCGTTCAACTGTTTCAGGCAAGGATACACATTGGACGTGTAGATCAAATGTACAAACAGAACAGTGATAGGTGAAACCTGTACCATCACTAAAGCATGCATTACAAGTAAATTCACTATTTTTGTCGTTGTGAGGCGTTAACGAGAGGAGAGTTAGAGGGTGTTCTGGGTGTGACTTGTGTCGAATCTCTTTTTCCAAATGAAAGCATGATTCATGAAGATGAAAGTCGCACTTTGGTTCAACACATGAATACCCCTTTCCAATTAGGTTTTCTTCACATCCTGAACAAGCAACCTCATCCTCTTTATCCTGTAAGTTGACCATAAACAAATTGTGGGGGTGACTGAAATGCATGATTCCTTTATCGCTCACTTGGTTTTGACCAGATTCAACATGACTCTCTAGTTGATTATTAGGAGAAGCAGCAGGAACGGAAATAGAAGCAATCTTTTGAGCCATGTTAGAATTTTGAGTAGTAGTAATTGGATTTTCATTTTTGGTAGGAATAGGGACAGAAGCCACATCTTGCACCAATGAAGGATATTGGATTTGAGTTACTGGATTCTGAAAACTAGTGGGAATGGAAACGGAAGGTCCATTTTGAGGCATTGATGGGTATTGAGTACCTGTATTAGAATTCTGAGAACTAATGGGAATTGTAACAGAAGGTCCAGTTTGAGCCATGGAAGAATATTGGGCACCAGCAACCGGATTCTGAGAACTAATGGGAATAGATACAGAAGGCCTATTAGGAGGCATTGAAGGATATTGAGTACCTGTGATAGAATTCTGAGAACTAATTGGAACAGAAACAGAAGGTCCAGTCTGAGCCATGGAAAAATATTGGGCACCAGCAATTGAATTCTGAGAACTAGTGGGTACGGAAACGGAAGGTCCATCTTGGACCCTGGATGGATCTTGCGCAGTCGTAATTGAATTCTGACAATCTGGTGGAATGGAAACATAAGCAAGATCTTGACCTGTGGAATAATATTGCTCACTGGTAATGGGGTTAGGAAAGGGAACAGAATGAGCACTTGGAGCCATATAAGGATTGTGCGCAGCGGTAGGTGGATTTGAAAGACTATAGGAAACAGAAACAAAGGGGGAATTGTGAGCCATGTTAATACTTTGTCCATTCCAACCTGGTATAGCTAGTTCTTGGTCAGGATCATAATAACTTGTGGGGTACTGATGAGCTGTCTGGAAACTGGGAACACGAGAAATGGAAAAAGCACATTGAACATGAAGGTCAAATTCACAATCTGCGCAGGAATAGGAGAACCCGGTTCCAATACTTTGACAGGAATTGCAGTAGAAGGAATTGGAGGGGTAAGTTGGATAAGGAACCAAAGTGAGGGGATGAAGAGGGTGTGATGGGTGTTGCAGAGACCGGGTTGCCCGGTAGCATTGCTCATGTAGGAAGAAGTTGCATTGCCAGCAAACATATACGATGCCGGTACCGGAAGAGTTGCAGCCAGAGCACGAGACTTCTACACCTTCAGGCATTTGGTGCATGATCAGGTTGTGCGAGTGGCAGAAATGCTTGTACCCCTGATCCATTTCTCTCTCTCCGTGAATGTCTTTGGAGGTGCACTGTGAATTGTGAAAGAAACTATATGAAGATAGGTAAACAGAAATTAAGGTGCAAGTAGTAGCCTTGGAATTGGTCAGATTGTGCCAATTTTTTCCACCTAAAGATTCTTCTTGTCTAGAAGTTGACTTTGTAAATTGTAATCTAAGGAGTTCTTCTTTGGTGGTTGATCACGACCAATATTATGAAAGTAAACTGATGAAACAAACAATAGGACTGGGTCAAACGCTCTCATCTCTGTATACCGTATTTTTATATTTCATACTGATTTGATTGGGATGAAAAATATAAGAGAATCATATTAGAAAAAAAAAATATTATGTAGTAGTGACGAATATAAATTTCGTTTAATTTTACAAACCCATCTTGCGTAGAAGATAAATAATGCGCATGTTATTGTTAAATTACATATATAAACACATGTGTATGCATCATTGTATTTATAATAAGCATATATATCGTGACACGTATAATATTATTAGCTATAAAATGCATTTTAGAAGTAAATATGATATGATATGATATTAATTTATGTGTTATAAGTTGCATCATGGTATTAAAACAAATAAATCCTGAAAGGGCTTTGTGGATGAAGGGTAAAATTGACATAGGTGCCTAAGTTGGAGGGTTAAATAGTAAAGGTTTGAGTTTTAGTAAGAAATGGTAAAAAAGATCCATATGGGCTCGTTTGGTTTGAAGGAATAAAATGGATTTGGAAGGATTTGCATTTCAAATCCATTTCAATCCCATGTTTGGTTTGTTGGATTGTCCGGATTTGAAATCGGTTTCATAATGTGTTGGGTTAGTAAAATTTAGGTATGAAGACTGACACTAGGTGGCAGGTAATTTCCGTTTTCGAAGGATATGAGGTCCTTCAGTAATTGACGTTAATTCTAATGTTATTTATTCATCAATCATCTCTCATGAATGCACAAGAATGGTAAAACCGAACAACATTGATTTATTTTTGTGTTTTGATAGGTTCGGAAGAGTTTGGAGTGAAAAAGGGATAAAAACAAGTATTTTTTACAGCTTTGCGAGGCTATGGTGTTTCGAGCACATCTCACTTGTTGGAACTTGGATTTAAGTGATTCAAGATGATCTGGAAAGCCAACAAACGGCCATACAACTTTGAAGTTTTGAGTTTCTGCAGATTCGGGCTGCATCTAAGCCGAAATTGACGTTGAAGGCAAAAACGTGTTGCCTGACAGTAAATGGAAACAAGTACAAGTCATTAACATATCATGGTGGATCATAGGATTTTCAAATCTTTTATATGCTTAAAATTATTTTCATTGAGGGTGGACTAGGGGTGGTTTGGGATTGCTTATTTAGGATGTTTATCAACTTATTTCAGTCATGTACTGCTGATAAGTTATTTTTAGTGTTTGGATGAAAAAAAAAGAAAATTGTTTATACCGATGTAATAAGTAATTTTTGATGAGTTACCTTCATGACTTGTCAAAATCGACTTTTGACAGATTACCCTTTTAACCCTGTTAATACCCTTTCTCTATACCCTAACAGACGAGAACCAAAGCAGCCTGTTACCCTTTCTCTATACCCTAACAGAGACGAGAACCACAGCAGCCTGACCACATCAGATACGAGAACTTCTTCCGACCGCCTCTGAAATCTCATCCGTCTCATTGTCGCCGGCAATCTCGATCCTGCTGGTTTCGTTCTCATAACGTATTTTGAGTGGGCCTTGGGTTCTAAATAGCCATTGGGTTTTAATTCTTTTTATCTGGAAAGAATTGTGGTGGATCATCTATGTTGTGAGTGGAAAAAAAAAGGGAGGAGATGCTCTTTCTAAAAACACAGCTGCTGCTGGAGGGATTCGATGGAGAAATAGAGGGGGCTGTTTGGGATTAAAAGCATCGATCAAGGAGGCTGTTTGAAGGAGAATTTGGACCCTCATGTGGCATTCGGGCACCAATCACACACCATTTTGGGGTCTGTTTTATTGCACAGAATCCACGGCTAGAAAAAGGAGGGCTACAGATTTTCTGGATCTGATTGGGGCTCGAAATCCACAGGTACAAAGAAAAGCTTGATTTATTTGGGCTTCTATTGGTAGCAGAAAAGGCTGTAATTTTGGGCTCGACTGGTTTGCCAAGTTCACGGTTCATGATCCAGTGATGGCCAAAAACCGTTCTCTAGCTTCAACAGTGTCGGTCCATAGCCGGTCCCGGTTAAAAAGGTTGAGCTTGGTTAAGATGAAGTGTAACCAGTCATGGTGAGCCGGTCCTGTCCCAACCGGTTCCGACCATTAAAAAAAATTATTTTTTTTAAATATATATTTTTAATATGTTATAAAATTTACAATTATGTCATTCAAATACACTTTAAAAATGTGTTTTATTATAATTAAAATTACATTGTCTTTCAAAAATACATTATAAAATTATCTGAAAATACATTTTTTCATCAATATTCATCAGTATCAATCTTCATCGGTATCTCATGTCGGATTAATTTGAAGAGTTTCAGTCTATTGAATTCTTCTAATAACCTATTGGTCATCAATATTGAGTTCCTCATCATCGTTATATTTGAGTAAGTGTTGTCGGTATCGGTAGTTGGTGGCGTGCTTAGTCTCGTGGGGATTTCATTTTCTTCCAAATTTCCTTCCACTGTTTCAATCTCCACCTCTAACGATGTCGTATGTTGAATTCTATCAACGCTATCTAAGTAATCCTTCAAAAAGATGCAACACTCCACGGACTCTAGGATTAGTGTTGTCCGACGTATCGAGATGATCCTGCCACTATGAGAAAAAGCGGACTCCGAAGCTACGACTAGCTTGGATTGTTAGTATATCACGTGTTATGCATGCCAAAACCGGGAATCGAGGTTGCTTTTGTTTCCAAAAATTCAATAGATCATTTTTTTCAAAATCTTCGACATCATTTGGAAGGCATGCAACCATAAAGTTAGTATGCACATACATATTTAGTTCATCGAAATCGTTATCAAATTGACTTTTTTTACTTAATTCATTTAAAAACTTCGTTCATTAAATTAGTCATGAACTCTTTCCGACTTTGTCGATGACCACTAAAAGAACTAGAACCCACAAATCCACGACTTGAAGAGCTTTGTTGTTGGTTTCTTTCTCTATAAAAATGTTTATAATGATTAAATAAATCTTGAAAATTACGATTAAACAAACGTTTTTGTTCTATTGAAAAAGAATTATTCGTAGCCATATCTAAACCAAAAGGCCACACATACTTGTGTAATTAAAACTTCAACACTGACAACATTTAAATGTAGGTTTAACGTCACAGCACAAAGAAAAACAAATGGGATGCTCATAAAACATTTTAGCAATTTCTTTTTCATTTAACTCATCAACCTTCCCCAATCGTGATGGTCTTCGTATTGGGCAATCTTATTTGGCAAAATATATAATTGGTTTAAAAGTAAATGGCTTGTTGGATAATAAATACCGGATAAAAATGTTGTCGCATTTTTAAAATTCAATGTGCCGTTATGCATATATAAGAAACCGGCAATCTGTATGGTGTTCTCCATACATCACACGTTAAAGAAATGTTGTTAGGCAAAAGAGCAAACATTTGTTGCATTTCACCTCGACACATTTTCCACATTTTAGTTTCATCACGTCTAAGGGTTCGACGACTTACTGACTTGTATCTTGGTTGTAGTGTTTTTTGGATCAACTTCGTAACGTGAGGGTTGTCAAAATGTCCGAAAGGCAACCCGACTTGAATGATACATTGTGTTGTCATTTGTCGGTTCAACACGACATCATATGACCATATTTGACCTTGAGTGTCAAGTGTCGGTTGACTTGAATCACCCTCGACCTCAACCCCGAGCACGTTTTTTCTGTGTGCCGCCTAAAGTAGAATTGTCTTCCGTCGTAAGGAGAGCTTGACACATTTTGCATTGTGTCTTTCTTTTTCCGTTCGTGAGGATCACCAAGTTGTATAAATTCCAAATCTTGGACTTTCGTTCGTGTTCGGTGAGAACTTAGACAACTTGTTCGTTTGATGCATCATGTTGTTCCTCGGCCATTTTGTAAGATAAAGAGAGAAAGAAATAAGAATTGTGAAGTGAAAACGAGAAATGAATACGAGTAGAAGTCACAAAATATAGCGAGAAACCGAAAATTGTAAACGTTTTTTTTTTGCGTTTTTTGCGAATTGAGAAGTTGGATATGTAAATTCATCCAACCAAGACACTTATATATAGTGTTTAAAAGGCAAAATATACAAAAAACATAAACAACTAGATTTTTTTAAAATTAACGGCTAGCTTTTTGAAAAATCGAGTCGGACCCATAGCCGGTCCCACAACCGGTCCCGAGCCAATCCCTCGAAACACTTCAAAACAGTTACCGGTCCTATAATAGGTCCTTTACCGGTCCTCAGGTGGTCTTGGACCGGACCGGGCCAGTTTGGCCATCACCATTCATGATGAAGGTTTGAGGTAATCTTTTTTTATTAAAAAAACACATTACGTTTGTTAACTTTAGTTGGTTTTAATACAAGTTTCAAGTTGTTTAATTGTTCGTTTTGCTTAGAATTTCATTCAAGAACTTCAAGTAGTGTTCTATTTTTAGAGACAAGAAAGGTACTCGCGCAATGCAGCATGATAAATCTCAATTTTAATATTTAGTTTTTCTTATTTATTTCTATCATATAATACGATTTTATGTTGTTTTAAAAAGTGAAAATGTATTTATTTTTAAATGAAATATAAATTTAAAGATAACATAAAATTTTGAAAAATAAATAAATCAATATTAATATT